GTATTCAAAAAAAAAAAAATACGCCAAACGTTTAGTAGTAATTATTTCGAATAGTTATGTCTAATTTAAAAATAAAAAAAAATAAAAATATCTGATGATTAGTGATGGAATGTATGTGAAATGTAATATGTTATTATATGGCACTTATATGATGTTTGCTGTAAATGCGGAGTGAATATGTAAATTACAAAAGGTGATTTTTGTAGTCATATCTAGTCTTTCTGACGCCAATTAATTAAGATTTATCATAAAACAAAAATAATAAATAATTAAAAAAATATGTGGATATTTGAATGAGGTTTTCCTGTAAATTCCTTTATTTCTTCCCCAATTTCCAAATTGTTCTCTGGTTATATATCTTATATTTTTTATTATTATAAATATTATTATTTTTTTTCAACTGTCAAATTTTTATTTAAAAATTCTCTTTGAAATTTGTCCATAACTTCCTATAACAAAACTGATGTAATATATCATTTTATATTATATATATATATATAAAAAAATGTGTCATGTTTTAAACTTTTTTTTGTAAAAGTATGTTTGATAATTCTATTAAATATTTTTTTGATAATAGTAAAATATTCGTGTTTTATTATAAATTAATTTTATTTTTCCTTGCGTAGCAAAGACTTACAGAGTCGTGCTTCGATTTAGCACCACTGAAATTAGAGCTAAATTAAGTGTGTGGCGCTAAACTGAAGTACTCAATAATACTTGATGAGGTCTATACACAAATATCGCAGTTTAAAATCATATATTTTGGTGTTCACATACCTCTAATTTAGTAATTCACAGATACTGAAGGATTGTCTATTTGATATGCATAGGAAATACCCGTTCGTAAGTACTCATTGGCGCTTTACGAGGGTGCGCTCTAACGAGGTTCGACTTTACATTTAAAGTTTGTCAAATAATGCAGCGCCATCTGGTATCAATATTTACAAACATTAAGCGAACTTTAGTAAAAATGAATTACAATTAAAATTTTCTTAAATTGAATTGAATTCATGTTGAATATTTCAAAAATAAATTTTATTAAATTCCGATACAAAAGTATTATAAATCAAGAACAAAATCTGATTAGGACGCGAATATTTATAATTTAATTTTAAATAAATTGTGTAAAAATTTTACAGATTTTCTTAAAAATTTTAATAAAAAAGAAAAGAAATAGTTGTAAAAATTTTATTTAATATAATTTTCTCGGTGATCGGTTGAATAAAAAGACATTCTTTTAAGCTAATAAGATCAGCTTTTAATTTAATGGATTCAATCCAAAATCCGATTATTTTTTTTTAATAAAATTTAAAATCAAAAACTAAAAGTAGCGATGAAACAATTTTAAAAGCGGTTAAAATGCAGGGAAGAAAAAACAAAACTTACCTTCATATTTTTTTTTTAGATCAGTAATTACAACATGAAATAGACTCTTAAAGATTTGAAAAAATTAATTATATTTTATAAAATTCAAAAGTAAAAATAATTGACAATTAAAATATTACACCCTAAATATTAATTTTAATTAATAAAATAAAAATTAATCTTTTGAATGAACTTAATTATAAATATTTAAAGTTTTTATATAAATTTATTTTAAAGGAAGGGTTCGACAGACTTGACTGAAATCTGAAAATGCACCTTTAAAAATTATTTTTAAAAATTCCGGCAACGAGCTGCGTAACTTTCCCGGCAACTTTCAAATTTTGATGGCGCCATCTGTTATCTTTTTTTTAATTTATATTTTTAATTATTATAAATTGGCAAAGAGCTTAATTTTGAGGACAGGGATGGGTTTTATAAAAAAAAATTGTAAATGCTAATAACGAGGAAATCGTCATTAAGTCCGACTCTACTCGAGATACGACACCCTTTATCTCCCCACCCCTTCGACCTTTAACCACCAAAATTGATTAGCATCTATTCCTCTAATACACAAACCTCCCTGTAAAATTTCAGAAAATTTCAATAAAATGCACAGGAATTATTAAGCTTCAAAGTGGTGAACAAAATTCTGCAACCCCCCACACAAAAAATCCCCGAATTTTTTGCATTTCCCAACGTTTGAAGATCCCCGAGTCTAAAAATGTAAAAATCTGGGGGTCATTTTTTGACCGATCGCCACATAACAGAGCCGGAAAAGTAATGTATTTTTTAAAATGCTTTTTTAATTATTAAAAATTCATTTAAAATGAAATTTTATTACATAATTTTTTCTCCTTACAAGTATTAATTTTTTGATCAAACCATTCACATATGTAAATAGGTGCAATTAATGATGTCTGGTTTACTGCAAAATGTTATTAAGAGAAATTTCATATCGTCTCGAGCATACGAAGTAGCGTATAAATATAATAATCAGTTAATTAAACCAATTAAAGATATTATGCACGGCTTGCTTATATTAACACACCTATTCATTAACACCGTAGATAATTACTAATATTCTATGTAAATTTTATGAATGATATTTGCTAGTGATAAAAATCTTCCCTTTTGAACAACATTCTAAGCACGTTAATAACTTTTACTAAACTTTTCGTGCCTCCATCTGGTTTTAAGGAAACGAATTAATTGTTG